CTCGAGATCAGCGAAGGAGGGAGGAAGTGTGAGGGATGGAGCAGGTGGAGGATGCTAGTCGTTGTGAGTGAACCTCGACCGGATGTTGCAGGAACGATGCTGTAGGCGGCGGTGAGCGTGCTAGCAGGGTGTGTGGTCAAAAGTAGCTCATCCCATTGGACGGATCAGCCTAATCTCTGCTGACACTTTACATAACAACAGAAAGGGGGAGGTGACGCGACTCCTTATGCAGTGACATCACCGCCTGCCCTCCCGTGTCTCCCAATCATCTTAGAGTCTATATGTGATTCAGGCTTAGTAAGGGTTCAATCAGGAGGACTTAACACAGCAAAGCGCGCTCCCGTTGTACGCACACACACTCCCTGTCCCGTCCCCGTCCCAGCAGCTCCATCCTGGGCTCCGCTGTCGCTCCCCGATGTGAAGCTCCCGCAGCTTGAAGGGAGCAGGGGGTCGGGGCCAAAGGGCGCAGGTCAGGAGGACGGAGGAGGAGGAGGAGGAGGAGGAGTAGGGGTGTTTGTTTTGGGGGAGCTTTCGGTGGGGCGGGTTTGTTCTGAGCCTGAGAGCATCAATGAGAGAGAAGGGGCTGGCCGGGGCAGGAGCAGCGCAGGGCAGGGACGCCATGGCCCTGAAGCTGCTCTTCTGGGAGCTGGAGAAGCATCTGAAGAGGTAACGCTGGCTGTGGTGTTGTCCGGGGCGGCGGAAGGGATGGGGGGGAGGTTGGCGGTGGTGTATGGGGTGACTGCAGCAGCCTGGGGGGGTTGAACAGGGACGGCAACGAGGGGCTTTGTTGTGACGTGTCGTGTGTGTGGTCGTTGTTGTCGAAATGTACAAATACACACATGTGGGAAACGTGAGCGTGTGAATGCCTCTACCTGCAGCAGCATCACCTCGGCATGCTCGCTCTGCTGCCTGCAGCGCTGCGTTCAAGGACGCAGTGTTCTTGCTTTTGCATGTGTGAGAGGGTGAAAGCGTGATTGGCTGACGTGCGTTCACATGGCTGGCTACCTGATCATGGCTGCGTTCTGCTGTGTGCTTCCCTCCCATCTCCTTTACCAGACATAAATCCAGCTCCACCAGTAGACTCCCAAACCCAATAAACCAAACTGTGTGCACACCTACAAAAACACAACAGTTGAACGACTTTGGTTTCGCACCCAACACCTGATTCTCTTCTCTCTTGGGTGTCTCCAACTATTTTTATTTGAACATTTTATCGCGACATCGTGTGACGCTGCTCCCGTGGAAGGAAAAGCAGAAGTCACTACAAACGTTTTTTTTTATTTTCCAGTTCTCTAAAATCACTCCATCACTTCAAAGTTCCCTCGACTTTCCGCCTGCAGAGCCGGAGGAAGTAAAACACAAAGAAGCTCGCAGGTTCGCGGCTTCGTCTGCTCCTCACATGAGTTTCTGATCTCCAAAACCGACTCCCACGCTGACTCCCAGTTCACTTCCAGCAGCCTTCAGTGGAACAAAACCAGCCAGATATAAACAGAATCGCTTAGAGGTCAACGAAGGGTTTGAAGGAGCCGCAGTCAGAGATCAGGAGCGATTCAATTAACATAAATGTGTGTGTGGGGGGCGGCTCTGGAGGGAGACAGTTTGGGTTTCTGTCTTTTTATCTTGACCACGTGTGTTTACGCTGAACGGACTTCCCCTATTCTTCCCGTGCTGTTTATCCAGACTGTCTCCATGGTGACGACACCAGGCCTCACCATCAAATCGTGTTCGTTTACATCAAGTGAGACGTAATCCGAGCAAAGCATCGATCTGATCAGCTGAGGAAAAGAGCTGGAAATCTATTTAGTGATGAATATGTAACTGATGAAGAGTGCTCAGTCGATCAATACATCAGGTTATGTGATCAATTAACAGTCCCCAAATCACCTCTGGTCAGTTTAGTCATAAAACAGTAAGAAATCCACCAAATATTCACATTTGAGAGGCTTAAAAACAGCAGTTATCTTGTTTTCTGCCGCTGAAACGATGCGGTGATTAATTGCAGAACTGTTTCTCCAAAACTAATTCACTCAACAGACATACTGAATATTTTCTGTGCCGCTTTTCTCTTTTCATACGACAGTAAGCTGAATATCTCTGGACGTTTAAAGACGTCTTCATCGTGGAGCTTTATTTGCAGCGTCACATTTTATAGACTAAATTCTCGATCATAAAAATTAACTGCATGTGAAGCGATTAGTCGCTGTACTAGTTCCCTTTTCTCACTTTCCCAACATCCCATTTCGTGTTTTATTGTCCTCCTGCATTGTTATACAACAAATGCGATGCCCTTAGCTGCAACTGATGCATTTCATCATTATTATGATGTCGGAATCAGAAAAACAACACAATTGTTGCAGATAATACTTCCCTTTCTGATCATTATCAGTTTTTTTTTTTGATAATTCTTTGGTCATTTCAGCTGTAAAATGTCAATAAATAGTAAAACTTTTGTTCTCAGACAGTCCAGAAGCTCAAAGACGTTAAATAAAATGACGTTTAACTGAAGAAAGGAACAACATAAAATCAGGGAATGTTCAGAACTGTTGCTTGATAATTAACTGAGTAGTTTATTGGTGTTTTATAAACTAAAGGCACAATAATAAACAAGGAAAGTCATCACTAGTTATAAGTTCCCTGTTCTCATGTTTGTTGCTTGCATTCATAAAGTACACCTGCTGCTATTTTTCATTTTCATTTCGTAAGTTTTTGATCATTTACGCTGTAAAATGTTAATAAATAGTGAAACTTTTGTCTTCAAATAGTCCAAAAGCTCAAAGAAACGACGTAAAAACTGAGGAAATGAGCAACAGATCGTCACATTTGAGCTCCTGAAACCAAGGATTGCTTGATAACGAACACTTTGACTCATTTATCCGTATTTTATTGACTATATACTCAATTGGAAAAACAAACGGATAAAAAAACCAACAACCATTAGTTGCTGTTTTCCTTCTCATTTTCTGATTTATTGCGTTGCTGCTTTATTAGACTGTAACAGTTTGTTTGCTTTTATTATTTTACTGTCAAAGAAACTGCAAAATTACAGCGGCTACAGCTTCTTTTTGTGTTTCCATTATCATTTCCTCGACTTCAATGTTGTTTTTGATCATTAGTTGATCGTTTTTTGTTCAGGTGAAGTCTTCCAATGGTCCGAAAGCCTGAAGAACTGAAATTAAATGACTTAAAACTGAGGAAGTAATAACATATCATGACATTAAAGCACCTAAAACAAAGGATTGTTTGCTTGATAATTAAATTGGAGTAATTTATACACATTTTATGGACTAAATGCGCAATCATGTAGAATAAACAGCACATTCATCAGGAAAATAATCATCAGTTGCTGTATTAGTCTCACTTCCTCTATTTTGTTTTCCATTATTCCAGTTCTGATTCCTTTGTTTGAGCTTCATTAGTCGCCATTTTTAATTTTCTGATCTGTTCTATAACAACAACGATTTCTTAATTTCATGTCCTTTCATTATTTGGTTATAATTGATTGATTGTTTAATCTATAAAATGTGATTAAATAGTTAAACAGGTGTATTTAAACAGTCTAAAAACCCAAAGAAATGACATCAAACTGATGGAAGCAGCAACACATTCATCAACAGTCATTTCAAATAAATGACACATTAATTAAGGAGGACAATAATCATGACTTTGCATATAAATTCCCTGTTTTCACATTTTCTGTTTTGCTTTATTTTGCCGCTGTAACAAAAGTGATCCCTTTGTTTCGAGCTCAGTTCGTCTCATTCGTGCATTTTTTAAAATTATTATTTTGTCTCAGAATCTGGAAAATAATTGCAAACAATCCCACTTTAGATCATCAGTCCCTTGGATTTTTTAAATAACTGAAGCTATGAAATGGTCCAAAAGCCCAAAGATGTTCAGTAACACCACACTGGAGCATCTGGACCCAGAGATTTTCCCACGTTTTTCCCTGCTTTCCGTGGACCGCCTCGTTAACTGTTACAGAGGACGAGCTGAGACACTTTGTGAACAATCTGACGCCTCCTCGCTAATAAAACAGAGAAGAGGGTGGTCCTGGTGCACAGTGAAGAACACAGTGTTCCCATTCCAGCCAGTCAAACACCACCAGAGACAACAAAGCTGCTGTGGTGGTTTCTCCTGCCGGCTCTGGAGCGTGCTGGACTGGAGGTCAGCCTCCACCTCAGGGCCGGCTGGAAATCGATCAGTCAGATCAGTGAGTCACATGGAGGGAGTGTGACCAACAGGGGGGGGTGTTGCTTCACTTTTTAAAACAAATTTAAGTTTAACTCCTAATGCAGCGGGTTTATATTAAATTTAAGAGCAGAATGTGGAGCGTAAGTGTGTAAAAGCTGCTGGTTGGGAGGCCCTGATGTCTTCAGCAGGTTCAGAGATGCTTTTATTCCAACGAGCCGCCTCTCGACCAATCAGGCGCCGGCGTCCCTGCATACATTATGCTAATGAGCTGCCCTCCTCGGCCAATCACAGGCTCGCTGGCGCTGTTTTCCTGCATGGATTATCCGCAGAGGGATCCGTGCTGAGCCGAGCCGCAGCCGCCGCTTCAGTCTTTGTGTCGCTCCGTCCCGGCTGCGAGCAGCGCGGTGGGCCCCGCAGAGCAGCAGCAGCAGCACCAAGCAGCGAGCCGGCGCTCAATTATGCGCCATTTTTTCTACTTTTCTACCGCTGGACGCGCAGATCGTGCGGCCGATGACTCGCCTGCGGGGCTTGTAACGGGCGGGAGAGCATGAATTCCCAGTGTTACACGGTGGCGATGGACCTTGGCGTTTGTCAACTGAGGAATTTCTCGATCTCGTTTCTGTCCTCCGTGCTGGGGAAGGAGAGCGCGTCGGTGCGGGTTGACAATAGGTACGAGCGGAACCGTTTTGGACGCGTGGATTTCTTTTATTCTAACCGTTTTTTTCCGCCCTCCCTCCTTCTCTCCATCATGACAGCTTCACACAAAAAAAACCCCACATCATTAACGCATGTCTGTGTTTGTCCCGCAGCTCTTCGGGCGCCAGTGTGGTGGCCATCGACAACAAGATTGAACAAGCGATGGTAAGAGATGCTTTATTTTTTTTGCTCTGATGGACCTGCTGTGTTGGTAAATAGGCCTCTGGAGGTGTTATATAACCTGCTGATTGTGCGCTGCAATGAATGAATGAATGAATGGATGGATGGATGGATGAATGAATGGATGGATGGATGGATGGATGGATGAGGTGCATTAAAAGAAAAACAACCATTTCCCGCATTTCTGCACCTGCTGGGCTTCATGCTCCGTCACGGTTCGGACCGGTGACCCTGCAGCTCCTTGTCAGCTTCATGTGGGCCAGACTAAGGGTTCACACGCCACCACATCTCCCCCCCCCCTCCTCTCTGGTTCTCATGCATATACATGGTCCCTCTCTCCCCTCTCTCTCCCCTCTCTCTCCCCCTGTCCGTCCCCGTGTTGCTAGGCAAGCAGCAGCCTCCCCTCAGCGCGGTATAAATAACTCAGCCGGCGATTGGCTCCTCCCATCCCGGTGCAGAACATTTTGTTCCCTCGCTGCTGCTGCTGCTGCCTATGAAGGAGGAAGGAGGGAGGGCGGGTCTACACAAGAGGGGATGCTCAGATTATTAATCCCCCTTTCAGCAGGCGGGCACTGGCATCATCATCATCGTGGGATTACAGCTGTTTCTCTGTAAAAGATTTAAATCCATCTTTTTCCCAGGAGCTCACGCTGTGCATGTTTTCCTCCCACTGAGAGGCTGGGCTCTGCGGCCCTCTGATGATGATGCCAGCTTTTTTTTTTTTTTAGCCTCTCACGTGTGGCTGTGTCACTATTTTGTGCCATTTTTTTTGTGCCACTCGGAACCAACCACCCCCCTCCCCGGCACGGAGGTGGAATTATCATAGTAAGCATGGGAGATGAGCTCGCAGATAACTTTTTAGGACCTTCCCTCGTAGCTCTCCTGCTTCCTCCTCTCTTCAGCCCACTTGCATCTAATAAAGAACCCCCCCTTCCCCAAAAACAAACAAAAAACGGCCACCAACAGTCCAAACCTCCAGATATTCAACGACGTACAATAAGAAAGCAGCACATTTCAGAACCAGCATCCCAACAGAACGGCAGCGGCCTCCTCCCTCCTCCTACATAATTGACGACATAGATCCAACTAATTCGGGCCTCTCCTCTGCTAATGCAACGATTAATCTGGCAGTTGTCTAAAAAAAAATGTGGATATTTTCTGGTGTCTGGTTGGTCATTTTGGGCTTTGGGAAGCACTAATTGACATCTTACAGACCAAACAACTGGTTAATTGAGAAAATAATCTCAAATGAAGCTTGTCACAGCCCTGAATTAATAACCAATAATCTTTTAAATATATTTCCTTGATTTATTTGTTGCAAAAATGCCCAAAGTAGCACCTCAAAGTCGTCATCTTGTCAAACCAACAGTCCTGAAACACAATTTGTTGTGGTAAAAAGAGAGAAAAGCAGTGAATCTGTAGATTTAAGAAGCAGGAAGTAGCACATGCTGAGCTTTTTTGCTTAAAGAAAATCACTTGAAGGGAAACTAGGATGTGAATTTTGTTGCCATTTCAGTTCAGACTTTAAAAATGAAAAGCAGCTCTTGGTTGTGTAACGAGGTCTGTCGTGTCGTCTCGGCGGGGAAACACGGAGGAGCTGCTGAATTATTAATCTGAGCGTCTCTTTGTCTGCAGGACCTGGTGAAGAGCCACCTGATGTACGCGGTGCGCGAGGAGGTGGAGGTGCTGAAGGAGCAGATCAAGGAGCTGATCGAGCGCAACACTCAGCTGGAGCAGGAGAACAACCTGCTCAAGAACCTGGCCAGCCCCGAGCAGATGGCTCAGTTCCAGGCACAAGTCCAGACCGGCGGCTCCCCGACCAGCACCGCCCAGCCTCCGGTACCCGTCCCGGGCGGAACCACGCAAGCCCTCCCCTCCTCACAGAACTCCGGCTCGTCTGCGTAACACGGACTTGGGAGAGCCTCCCCTCGGGGATGACGGACAGAGGGGATGGAAGGAAGAAGATGAGGAGGAGGAGGAGGAGGAGGAGGAGGAAGGAGTCTCGCCATACTGTGAACGGACTCGAGCTTCTGGACCGACTATGCCACCGTTTGGAGGAGCGCACACTGACCCGGCGGACGGAGAAACAACCCTCTTTTTGTTGCACATTTTTATTTAACTGAAAGACGTTGGAGCTGCACCGGTGTGTGAATGCGTGTCTGCTTCGTCTTTTATTACTGCTTCAGACAATCGTTGTCGTGGTGATGATGAGGGGAGCCGGCCAATCGGAGGCTCTCGTCAGTCGAATCCCCCCCTCCCACCCACCCACCCACCCTCCTCGCAGTGTGCCATCGTCCCCCCTCCTCACCTCTGCTGTCCATCAGTTTTTTAATCGGTGTTTTCCTTTCTCTCTCCCACCACCACGTGCACTTTGTTCAAGGCAGACAAACTTTTCAAGGGAGATTCGTTTGAGCCCATCTGGAATGGGAGCTTCCTGGTTCTGAAGAGGACGAGGAGGGCGGCGCTGAGGGGGGCGGGGGTCGTAAAACAAATCTGAAATCTAAATTAGCGGCGCCTCATTGTTCGCTCTGAGAACTCGGTGTTCTGCCGTCCCCACCCTGAACCTGAACCTGAACACTTCTTACTCGGATGGAGCATTAAAACATTTATGCAGGGAATCAATGTTTTTTAGGGAGTTTTTTTTTTGTTTGTTTTTTTGTCTCTTCTTGGTGTAATAATGTCCTGTAAAAAAAAATAAATAACAGAAATAAATTAGGACATGACTGTTTCTAGGTAGTGAACTTTGTACAGATTTAAAATTTCCAATTAAACTCTGCCAAGTGCCTGGTTTCTAACCATAGATACATATATCAGAGCTGTGTTTTTTTAGTTGTGTTTTCTATATATATATCTATGGTTTTGCCAGGTTTTGAACTACCAGTGATGTCAGTACTCAGGGTGGGAACAGAAGAGGACGTTTTACCTCGACACTAGAGATGCTGTCTTCTCTCCTGCAGTGACACACGGCTCGTACTGTACGTGAATCCACTCGCTCCGATCATCTGGACTGTTTTTACCGTTTTGGGGACGTGTGTTGTTGTTGTTGTTTTTTTAAAAAATAATAATACTAATTTTTTTTTTTGTTTTTTTTGTACAGCCAAGTGTTTTGCGTTGCTCTTAGTGCAACTGGAGCGCCGAACACGATAAATATGACACACTTGGCGATTTAAAGAAAAAGAAACACGATAAGGAAAATGCAGAAGTATGTGGATGTTTTGTGCATGTTCCTCAGCCCATCACAAATGTGACGTTACAATTGCACTAGACAGTTGCACCTCAAATAAAAACAAAAAAGCAAAAAACGCTGGACTGTTGGGTTTTTCTTTTTCTTTACACATTTTTAATTTTAAAAAAGAAGTAAAATATCCGTTCCTTAAATAGTTCCGTTTTCTCCCTCATGTGTTGATTTGAATCATCAAATAAAAGTAAAAAAATTCAGATTGACCAAAAGCAAACCGAACCACTCCAGAAAGTAAAAATAAACGCCCTCATTTAGTCCCAGTTCTCCCACAGCGCTCCCAGTTCAAAGCGCCTTCACCGCCGGACCTCAGCGCACATGCGCAGAAGTGGACCGCAGTGTCAATATTTATCCATAGGCGGCCCCTCATTGGTCATATATGACCGAGCCCCCCGACAACAACAACCTATGGCGGCTCCGCCCACCGCTCGCTCGCTCGCTCACGTGTACCTTCACGCTGGCGGACGACGGGAGCGCGCAGGAGGAATGTGGGACGACGTCATGTGAGGAGAGGAGCGGGTCGGCATTGAAACGTGCAGAAGCAGCGCCTAAAGGGGCGATTGGTGCAGATGAAATAGACTTTAGAAGGTGCTGAACTTTATTTATGACACTACTGTGTGCAGGTGTGTTCTATTATTAATTTATTTTTATTTTTTTAAATGGCGTGGAGATCTCAACATCGCCAATCATCAGTCACGTGGTCCAGTCGATTTTATTGTTAGTTTAGATTTGTGTAAAATACTTTAGTCTGAATGTGTCAATGAAAAAAAAAAAACTAAACAAAAACCCCTGTAGTAATCGTTGTAGGTGTATCTGTGTGACCCTGGTCTTCTCCATCACATGATTTGGGTTTTCGTTTAAAATTTCAATACAATTTGTTTTTTGTTTTTTTTTAATCATACACCAATTTTTGGTTTTTGAACAAAGAATAGAATAATATATATGTATATTGTCATTTTAAAATTACAAACCAGGCGCTATCTTCTGATACCCAGAACAAAAAAGGTAAGAATCTAGTTTTTATTGTCGTGTTAAAGGTTGAGTTCAGGCTACAGCGTGTCCACACAATCCTCTACAGATCATAGCGGTGCTGTCGTGTCTCGGTGGTATTAATGTACAGATTTTGGTAGGATTACTTCTATAAACCTTCTTTAATCTTATACACATGCAAATGGTACAGTTTATACTGTATCCGTGGGATATTCATGCTTTTTTTTTTTTAAGCAAACGACTGAAAGTGTGTCTCCAGAATGTGTCTTTTCATTTTTATCTGGATGGTTCATATCACTGTGACTCTTCTGAATGTTCTGTTTCAGCAGCTGTAGCTCTGAACATACCTGAGATGCTGCTGGCCCGTTCAGGAAGAAGATTCTCTCTGCATTCAACTGTTTTTCTTTAGTAAATGGATTTAATCTGACCGCTGAAGAACACCACACCTTACTTTGACGAGCTGCCTCCTGTCAGGTGGGACGGGAACCAGAGAACAGCGTCCTCGTTGACCCAGTTGTCAGCCAGGCGTTCTGGTGACTATGAATGGGAGGTGGGGTCAGAGGTGGTGCTGAGGTTAAGCAGGGTGACGGCGGTCAGAAGATCATCAGCCAAGGACGGATTCTGTAACTGAAACAGCTTGAGGCGGTTACTGCTGGGTAGGTGGTCCTGAAGCTGTTGGAGCTGAAACGTTTGAGATAAATGGAAGGCTGGTAGCTACAGAACTGACTGATAAACTAAACATCTCTAACATCACATATACTGGTAGCATTGTGGCCTGTTTTCTACAACACAGATTTACGAAACAGCATCAAACAGAGCTGCACTCCACAACTACACTGTTTGCTGTTGCTCTGTATAAACAGGAGTGTTCATAAAACAAGTACATCTCGTGTCATTTAACTGTTATTTGACCAAAAAAAGGGGAGAAGTTCCACAAAATAACATTCATCCAAGTTTATTGTAGAGGTTTCTTATTTATGTGCCAACGTATTTTATTGTATCTTTCAGCTACATTATCGATGAGGCCTCCATATCTCATTGTGCTCTGAGTGAAATAAAATGAATGTAAGAATTTAAAGCAGCCGTGATGTTCTGATTGCTCAGCTGTCTCTGTGAATCCAGGAGTTTAGCCCAGCTGTGATCAATAATATTTGAGTCCTTCTGTAAATGTGTTGTATTTTGTTGATGAACCGGTGAGAGACACTGGCAGAAAGCTCCAGAACCCGGAGGCCTAACCGAGATACCGTTTCAGTGACGTTCGGTTTCAAGGCCAGATTTTAACCTGAAGGTGCAGCAGCTCGCTGGTATTTTTAGCAACTTTTTCTAGGCTGCACTTTTCCTCCTGTTTGTCTGCAGAGCTCAGAATCACTTTCCTCTGACTCCAGGCAAGACAGAAGACGTCTTTTATCGTATTTCTGTTTATTTGAATGAAAACAAAATGTGACATGAATGTGTTTTGATCAAATGATCGATGGAGCTTCACAGAACAATGAAGTGTCTCAGTTCTGGGTCAAAGTGTAATCGGCTGTGGTCTTTGATCTGACGCCTGTCCAGAGGGCTTGGACCTGCTCCCCCGTCCTCAGGTCAGTCTGATCCCACGTCCTGACCTCGGCGTGGCTGGACGGTCGCCTGGTGGCTCAGACGCCGAGCGGAGACAGAGCTCCAGCTCTCGTGTCCAGATGGCACTTTCGCAAATCCCATTTCATTGACAAAAGGTGTTTTCTTGAGGCAGGCGGGTACAGGATGTACTCAGAGGGATCACACGTGGATTAACCTCCTCTATTCGTGCCACGAGTGAAGTCAGGGGGCAGATATGGAGGTCAGACATTTGCATTCAGACAGTTGCTATTAAGTTTTTATTGACCCGTGATGCTTCCTCTGTTCCTGGCCCAGACATGCAAAGACCACTCTGCCCCCAAAACAACCCCAAAAATCCTCTTTACACCCCCGTGAGTGGACCTCCCCCTGTGCTGTTGATGTATTCCTTATTGCTGAGAAAGCAGGTGTCCTGCTGGTTAAACCCTCCACGTCCAGACTGTCAGTAAGTAGGACCCACCTCCTGCGGCCCCCGAGACTCGACGTGGGGATTAACTCATCCGGTGTCATCAGAAATACACTTTGTGTTTGTACACAAAGAAAAACAAACCTGTTAACAGCAGCGTCTGCAAAATCCCAAATGGACAACAGAGATTTTGTTGCTGAGTTACACGCCAACGTAAAACACTGAAACACGCAGCAGGTGAAGACATTTCTGTGTAATGACGGTTTGTAGGAACTGTGCTGTGTTCAGAATCGCTGATTTACTGCCTGGTTTACTGCGAGGTGGTTAAATCCTGTAAATATGAAGAGTTCGGCCTCATACAGCTGGAAACGTGACAAGAAATGAGTGGATTTGAACAGAAGTCTGTTGCAGATAAACTTTAAACTGCTGGAATCCAGGTGGATCCAAAATGGAGGATGCAGTGATTTTACTGACCAAGCCGACCAGACACGTGTGTTTGTGTTCTGAAAACATTCTGAGAAAGTTCTGGCAATGTTTTCTTAAAGTTTTCTCGAAAGACGTTCTAAAATTGTTTAGTGGTAACACTGATAGATCGTTACGTTTCACTTGATGTCATGAACATATGATTTCTCCTCAGTATTCTTTATTAAAGCAGCCAGCTACACGTCCTTGTTGTTCATCCTGCCAACCAAGCTTTGATTTGTCAGCTGTTTCTCCAAAAATAAAAAACAAACAGCCGTAGGTAATCGAACTTCCGACTGAATCTGTGATCTGAGCAGCATGACGTGATTTTTCCTTCTGATTCTAAGTTAAAGCAGTGGGAAAAAAAGTGGAAATTGACGGCTGCTATCACTACGGCTGCACAAAGATGCCCCCTCAAAGCCAACAATGATCATATTTTCCAGCTGGACCGTTGATTATGTGATGAGACATGGAGACAGTCTTTTTTTTTTTTGTAAAATTCAATCTGACATGCTAATAAAATGTCCTTCCTCGCAAAAAAAAAAAAACCTTTGATCCTACACACAGATATCTGATCAGTCAAACGAGCTGTCGGTGGTCACGTCTCGCTTCCTGTCACATGTCAGCAGCAGCACACATGTGCACTCAATCACTTTCAATCCGAGTCAGCTGCTGCCACGTCCGGCCTGATCATCCAGACCTGAGGTGAGCTATTCGATGCTCCGTGAGTGTGTGCGTGGGGAAGTGACCTGCTGTAATATTGGCAAGTCGTCGTTGCTGTATGTGGGTCATGTTTGCGTGTTTGGGAAGCAGCTGAGGGAAGGTGTGAAAACTTCTATAGATGGTGAGGGAATATCCACACGAGACATACGAGCTCGGTCAGCTGCAGAGGTTGTTGTCTTGATTATTAAGGACACTGATCTGGTTGTTGAGCAGCATGCAAAGGCCTCAGCATGCTTGTTGTTCCTGCAGCTTCTAACAACGTGCCCTCTTCACACGGCGATCGCACACGCCTCTTTTTCCGTTCAACATTCATCACATGTCACGTGAACAATCGAGTGCATCACCTTCGAGCGTGGCCATCAGGCGCGTGAGTGTTCACGCTCATGCAGCCTGGAATCGACGGCAAAAATCCCACGATTGCACTGCAGACGACACACTCAAGCAAACACATGGCTGCTTGTGGTTCAACCCAAATGGAAAACAAATTAGACGCTGCCAGCTCTCTATTCAAGCAGCAGAAAAACTGAACGGACGCTGACTAGCCAGGATGGATATTTTAAGCCGAAGGAAGTTGTTGAGAAAGTTCCAATTTCCTTAAAATGCAGCGTACTGTACCTGCATTGTTAGCATTGTTCTATTGTTGAACACTGGCGCCAAAATGTTTAAACTCCAAATTTTCCATCGACTAACCTCAATGTAAACACAAGCAGTAAGCAAAATCCAGCTGCCATCTCATCATTTTTGTCAATTTTACTCCTGAAAGGAAAACATAATCCACTATAAATGAATATCAGTGTGTCTATAATCATCACAGGAACCCCTCAGTCACTGTTCTGTGTTTTTGTGCCTGCAGCAGGCCTCCTCTCCGCTACGCCCGTGTCCTTGTT